CTTGTGAGCAAAAATTCTACTTTGTGAGCTACTGGCATTAAAGTTGTGAGCAAGCAATATGGCTACTGCATAAATTAGCTTGCTCTGGAGCCATCCTTCCTGAGCTAAGACAGAAAATGTGTGAGCCACAGGCTGAAAATTTGTGAGCTAGCTCACACTAACTCAGCTTAGAGGGAACACTGCTCAAGTTTGTGCCCCAAACGATGGCATTGTGCCCCACTGAGGCCTCTGTCCTCCCCAGGCTCCACTCCCCAAATCTGTGCCCACACGCATCCAGAGAAACCTTGCAGCCTTTGTTCTAGCCAGGGTTACTCAAGTTGCAAAGCTTTGACTACCTGATTTTCAGCCCAGATGATAAACTACTTGTTACTGGTACTTCCGTTAAGAAAGGGGGTGGCCATGGAAAACTTCTATTCTTTGAGCGGGAGACATTTAAGAAAGTATATGAAATAGATGTCACAGATGCGGTAAGACAAAGTTGATTATATAAACAAACTTGGATATTTTGCTCATGTGTTAAAATTAGAATTCTCCCTCCTCCTGTGCATCTAACCACTATTAATTGTATTATTTAACACAAGGGTATGTAACTGAATACATGGCTGAAATTCTGCAAGATGAAGGTATCATAGTGTATACTGAACCATGATGATTGCACAGTCTTTTGCTAGAAAAAAAACCGCTAAACCTTCAAACCTGAATTCCCATAATAGTACTAATTGGAAACTGTAATTGTTGACTCTCTGGCCAAGAAGTGCATCCGTGATTCAGGAAACAGTTGTAGCTCAGTGGTAGAGTGCACACTTTTCGTGTGCATGGTCCCAGGGTCAATCCCTGGTATCGCCATTTAAAAAGGGATCTTAGGTAGCAGATTTTAGGAGAGACTTTGTCTGAGAACCTGGAAACCTATCCCAGGTCAAAATAGACGGTACTGACCAAGATTGTTCAATGGTCTGACTTTGTGTAGGACAGCTAAGGGTATATAATTGAGTATATAATTGCTAAATTTAGCATTTCTTAATTTTTAAAAACCACACAATTCTGAGAAGCTTGAGAAACATGGAAAGGTAAATATTGGGGCGTAGTAAGGGGGAAAATGAAAATCCCCCGCCCCCCTCCCCCAAAACTTACCTGCTGGTTTCCCGAGCACTTCACAAGTTGTGCTGAGCGGCTGAGCCTGGGGGAAGGTGCGAGGTGGGCCCGCCCGCCGGCAGTCTCTGGAGAAGACTTCTCTCGGGCCCGGCGTGGGTCACTTGCTGGCACTCGCTGCACTCGTTTGTGCCCAGGCGCTGACTCAGCTCAGTGAGGCGCCAGGCACATGAGGCAAACCAGCAGCGAAGCAGCCAGGCTTCTTCTGGCCACACCGGCAGCGGCATGCTGGGGCGTTTGGCGGGGCCGGGGCCAGAGGAGCGCTGAAGCGTGCGCAAGGCGGGCCACTGGGAAGGAGAAAGCAGGGCTTCCTTCTGGGCGGCGCGCTGCCGGTATGTGGCCTTTTCACGGGGGTAGGGCTGGGGCCAGAGGGTCGTGTGAGGCGGGCCGCCGGGAAGGCAGAAAACGAAAGCGAAGCAGCTGGGCTTCTTCTGGGTGGGCGACGCGCCAGAGCTTTTGGCGGGGGCCAGAGGGGCGCTGAGGCACGTGCAAGGCACACGAGGCGGAAAGCAGGGCTTCTTACTAGGCTTTTGGCGGGTGCAGGGGAGGTCTTTGGTGGGGGGGCTGGCCCTGATTTGGCACCCCTCAGGCCGGCTCACGCTCTAGGCAAATGCCTAGTTCGCCTAGCGGGTGAGCCGGCCCTGACAGCAGCTTCTGCTGGGGGAGGCTGAAACCATGTCGTGTGTCTAGAGATTTTCACTGGGACTTCAAGAGAGCAGTGAGGTTCTCCCTGCAAAAAGGAGTTGTGTGTCTGTTAGATACTGAGACTGAAACATTGCAGAACTGTGCTGCCAGAGACAGGGCGAGCTTGGAGCCGAATAACAACAGACCAACAGGATTCTGGCAGCAACCAGTCAAGGTGTAATGTTATGTGAATAGCCTATCGTTGGGAGTGGGGTGTGTTGGGGGCGTGTCAATTGCATGCAATATAACCGAACTGAGGTTCTGGTCTGCAGTCTTGTTCTTGGTGAAATCACTGAATAAAGTAGAGCTGATCACTAGACTTGGAGTCTGTTCATCCATGGAACCCACTATTTAACAGTGCCACTCCCATCGGTCTACAGATTGTGGTGGGGGAGCCCAAAGAGGGACGAAGGAAGGGGCAAGGCCTGGGGGCCACGTGAGCCCAATGTCCCTACAGATCTTTTGCCTTTCACCCTCTGGTTAGACTCGTCCACAAAAGGGATATACTCTTGATTTTCCAGTGGAACGTCTTTAAGCTCTAAGTGGCTGGTTGAAAAACCTCTTGGCCAAAAATACCAGGGGCCATCAGGAGGTCCAGCAGTGGGTCCGGGACACTAGAAGCCCCCCCAACACTGTTGCCCACCCCCCCAAGCACCAAGAATACAGAGCAACACTTGCCCCAGACCAAAAGCTCCTATCTATCCCTTGTGGCTAATAGCCACTGATGGACTTCTGCTCCATCTGTTTATCTAATTCCCTCTGGAAGCCATCCATGCTTGTAGCCGCCGCCCCCTCCTGTGGCAGTGAATTCCATGTATTAATCACTCTTTGGTATAATTAGAGGGTGGTCCTTTCATCATTACCGAGCCACACGGCCAGAATGCTCCAGGTTGTCACCAGGTTCATAAACTACAGTGGTGGCATTACAACTATAGAAAAGATTAATGCAAAACTGGAGGGGGAAAGTATTTATAGCAGTAAAAGCTGGACTCTTGTGAGTTGGGCAAAAGGGTGGTTTTGTTCCTGGGGCAACTTGTGCCCTCCAAAACACCCATTTCAAGGCTGATGGAGCCCACTGACTCATTCACACGTTGATCAAAGGGGTAATGCTCAGTACAATGCACTGGGGCTCCTTGGGGATTCTGCCAGAAAGAGCCATTCCCTGGGGAAGAGAGCGGAGGTGTTCCTGACGAGGCGTGAGGAGTGGTTTTGACTTCAGCAGGGCTGGGGAGGCGCTCCTTTAACAGGTATGCCTGGTGGCACCCGGTGCACTGCCCACATGCCCTGCCTGCAGCCCCCCCCGGCAAAAACTTCCCCCACCTCCTCCTGTCTCCACCGAGTGTCCGGTTTAAAGCTCTTTGCAACGGTTAGGGACGAAAGGCAGATGTTCTACATGTGAATGCCAATAAGTACACCGATTCCAGCCGACACCTATACCGTTGTAAATGTCCCATCTGAACGTACCCTTGGAGTGGGGAGAATCAGGTTCAAGTCCCCATTTTGCCATGAAGCTTGCTGGGTGTCCTAGGGCCAGTCAGTCTCTCTCTCCCTAACCTACCTTGCAGGGTTGTTGTGAGCAATGGGGAAGGAGAAAATACTTTCTTTGGCAAGAAGTTTACCTGATGATGACACTGGGCTGGTCCTACTGTGTCAAGCTAATCAACCTTACGGGGATACTCCAGTCCAACACTCTGTCACACAGTGGCCAAAAATACCAGGTGCCCTCAGAAGGTTGAGCAGTGGGGCCAGGACACGAGAAGCCCTCCCACTGTTGCCCCCCAGCACCAAGAAGACAGAGCATCACTTGCCCCAGACTGAGAGTTCATATAAGAACATAAGAGAAGCCAGTGCTGGATCAGGCCAGTGGCCCATCCGTCCAGCATTCTGTCACACAGTGGCCAAAAATACCAGGTGCCCTCAGGAGGTCCAGTAGTGGGGCCAGAACTCCAGAAGACCTCCCACTGTTGCCTCCCCAAGCACCAAGAATACAGAGCATCCCTTGCCCCAGACCGAGAGTCCCTATCTCCACCTTGTGGCCAACAGCCCCCGATGGACCTCT